ACAATTTCAATTTATAGGCAATAGGTGTAGTTCTCGTTGTTAGACTTATGTATTTAGTAAATTTTATAAAATTTTAAAATCATTTTAATATCATAATTCAACACTTTACAAAAGGGGAGAGGGAGATGATGGTAAGCTCTCACAGCATCATGAGGTTAGCTAGAAGAGAAGGTGGTGACGAAGATGATGCCTAAAAATGGAGAGGCAGAACAAAGCGAATAATTAATGTACAACACGTGATTGTGTAAGAATCACCAAACTGCACACATGCGATTTTAGCAATCTTGGTTAAGGCACATTAAATTTTTTATAAATGTTAGAATTTTATTAGTTGTAATAGTAATCAAATTATCTCCTCTTTCCTAAATTCTTCATGTTCAAAAAAAAGAATTACATACTGAACTGCAAACAAATCATATCTGAATCCAATTCTGCACCCAAATCTTCCCCATTTGTGTATACCCCTAAACCTTCATCTTTATAGGCAAAACAACAACAAAGAGAGAAGAATTGGGATCAAAAAAGCATTTGCCAAAAGAGTATATGATTTTGAGGGTGTTTGGAAAAGTTTAAAAAGTAAATTTAAGTAAATTTATAAACTCTTAAATTTATTAGAGAAATATTTTTAAATTAATTTTTTTAAATAATATCTTTTAAAAAATATATACACATCCAAATTTTCTGAAGACAAATTTACTTTTTAAATTGGTTGTGGGCCAAACTGGTTGTGGGCCAAACTTGTTGCTCTGCTCTGCATTCTTAACCAGGATAGAAGCCTGCCATATATGAATACAAATCCTTTTCTCTCATCACCATAGTATTTCAATTTCAGTTTCCTTCTTCTTTTGATCTTTTCTAAACTTCCTTTGCCTTTTAGCCATGAGAGAAGCTGCAGCAGGCCAACTTTCACTCCCAGGTTAGCTAAAATTATGTTCTTAAAGTGTTTGAATTCACGGTTTAAATATAATTAATATCCAATAACTATAATAATTATTTTTGTTTATAATCTTAATATATAATGTGTTTCATTAAAAATAATATCTGTTAACTGTTTTTGAAATCCCAAACCAAACAACCATTTTTAATCAATCAGATGAAATTCAAATTAATTATGTGCATGTTAATTATAAGCAAAATCAGATCGAACAACTTATCAAAAATTTCAGAAAGTTGTGGCGAGTTTTAAATTTGATACTGATTTTGTGTTTCTTGCCAGTTGAGGAGATTGATGAGGCAAACCCAACTGAAAATACAACACCTCATCGGAAAGATATTCATTGGTGGATTCGAATGTGTTTGTACATCGTCTTTGTCCTGGCTGGAGAGGCGGTGGCAACACTATTGGGAAGGCAGTACTATGACAAAGGTGGAAAGAGCAAGTGGTTGGCAACTCTAGTGCAGCTCGCTGCTTTCCCAATTCTTATCCCCTTCTACTTCTTCTCACCCGCACCGCTCAAAAACCCCACCAAAACAAGCAACAATATTATCAACACAAAACCAGCACCGGTAACCAGGGTTGCGGCTGTTTATGTCACTCTCGGCCTGCTTGTGGCGGTGGAGTGCTACTTGTACTCAGTTGGGTTGCAGCATCTTCCCGTGTCTACCTATTCCCTCATCTGTGCATCCCCGTTAGCATTCAATGCCTTGTTCTCATATTTCCTCAATTCACAGAAGTTCACTCCTTTCATAGTGAACTCTCTTGTCCTCCTCACCCTTTCCTCTACCTTACTCGTGTGGAGTGGGAACTCTTCAAGTTCCGGTAGCAAAGTTTCCAGAGGAAAGTATATCATCGGATTCTTATGCACCGTGGGGGCATCGGCTGCGAACGGGTTGGTTCTCTCCCTAACCCAACTCTCCTTCCAGAAGGTCATCAAAAAGCAGACTTTCACGGCAGTGATGGATATGATAATCTACCAGTCGGCAGTGGCGACGGTTGCCATTTTAGTGGGGTTTTTGGCCAGCGGCGAGTGGAAGGGATTGAAAGGAGAGGTGAAAGGGTATGAATTGGGGGGAGTATCATATGTTATGACTTTAGTGTGGGCAGGTGTTTCGTGGCAAATATTTACAATTGGGACGGTGGGATTGATATTTGAGGTGTCGTCTTTGTTCTCCAATGCCATAAGTGCGATGGGACTTCCGGTGGCTCCGGTTTTGGCTGTCATCTTCTTCCACGAGAAGATGGATGGTGTAAAAGTGGTTGCTCTGATCTTGGCCATTTGGGGATTTGTTTCATACATCTATCAACACTATCTCGATGATGCTCAAGAGTCCGAAAATTAGAAGAAAATGAATTGAAGAAATGAAGCCATTGTTGCTTGCGACTATTTACTTCTCTGCGCTCTTAAAAATAACTTATAGGAGATGATAATTTTTACTATTATTATGTATTTTCGTTTATGTTTGGGATTACTCAAAACATCAATTTCACTAAGCTCTTTTCATCCTTTTTAGCTGTTTTCATTAGAAATTAAACTTTGTCCTTGAGGGACTATTTCATAGTTAAAAAATTAAATATCTTTGTTTGAGATTTTAATTTCAAATTTTAAAATGGGTGAAAGAAATTTGAAAAGAGGAAGTTATTTTTTATTGTATAATACATTATTTGATTAAAAATAATATATGATAACCGTTTTTGAAATCCCAAACCAAACACCCATTTTTAATCAATCAGATGAAATTCAAATTAATTATGTGCATGTTAATTATAAAAAAAACCAGCTCAAACAACTTATCAAACATTTCAGAAAGTTGTGGCGAGTTTTAAATTTTATACTGATTTTGTGTTTCTTGCCAGTTGAGGAGACTGAAGAGGCAAACCCAACTGAAAATACAACACCTCATCGGAAAGATATTCATTGGTGGATTCGAATATGTATGTATATCGTCTTTGTCCTGGCCGGACAGGTGGTGGGAACACTATTGGGGAGACAGTACTTCGACAAAGGAGGAAAGAGCAAGTGGTTGGCAACTCTAGTGCAGCTCGCCGCTTTCCCAATTCTTATCCCCTTCTACTTCTTCTCACCGACACCGCTCAGAAACCCCACCAAAACAAGCAACAATATTATCAACACAAAACCACCACCGGTAACCAGGCTTGCGGCAGTTTATGTCTCCCTCGGCCTGCTTGTGGCGGTGGAGTGCTACTTGTACTCAGTTGGGTTGCAGTATCTTCCCGTGTCTACCTATTCCCTCATCTGTGCATCCCAGTTAGCATTCAATGCCCTGTTCTCGTATTTCCTCAATTCCCAGAAATTCACTCCTCTCATAGTGAACTCTCTCGTCCTCCTCACCCTCTCCTCTACCTTACTCGTGTGGACTGGGAACTCTTCAAGCACCGGTAGCAAAATTTCCAGAGGAAAATACATTATCGGCTTCTTATCTACCGTGGGGGCATCGGCTGGGTTTGGCTTGGTTCTCTCCCTAACCCAACTCTCCTTCCAGAAGGTCATCAAAAAGCAGACTTTCACGGCAGTGATGGATATGATAATCTACCAGTCAACGGTGGCGACGGCTGCCATTTTAGTGGGGTTTTTTGCCAGCGGCGAGTGGAAGGGATTGAAAGGAGAGATGAAAGGGTATGAATTGGGGGGAGTATCATATGTTATGACTTTAGTGTGGACGAGTGTTTCGTGGCAAATATTTGCAATTGGGGCGGTGGGGTTGATATTTGAAGTGTCGTCTTTGTTCTCCAATGCCATAAGTGCGATGGGACTTCCAGTGGTTCCGGTGTTGGCTGTCATCTTCTTCCACGAGAAGATAGATGGCATAAAAGTGATTGCTCTTATCTTGGCCATTTGGGGATTTGTTTCATACATATATCAACACTATCTCGATGATGCTCAAGAGTCCGAAAATCAGAAGGAAGTTGAATTGAAGAAATGAAATCATTGTTACTCGGTTGCAACTATTTCTTCTTTCTGCTCTTAAAAAAACCCCATAGGAGATGATAATTTTTACTATTATTGCGTATTTTCATTAATGTTTTGGGATTAATCAACATCAATTTCACTAAGCTCTTTTCATCCCTTTTTAGCTGTTTTCATTAGAAATTAAACTTTGTCCTTGAGGGA